TTTCTCCAAGAGAAAGACGGAGACAACGTTAGCCCTCCTCCAGTCATGGGCGCTTCCCCTGTCCTCCAGGATTTCTCCAAGAGAATAGACAGTGGTTCTGAGAGTTCCTCCTGAAGCTCCTTTCTGACTCAAGGATGGAGTGCAGCAGGCCCTGGAGACTTGCACTCATTTACCCCATTAGGTGATGCTTGACCATTTGCTGGTCAATCCTGAGCTGCCATCCGGCCCCTTCAGTTCATACTTCCCCTCCATCAGGAAGGATGGCTCTTCTTTTGAGGAGACTGGGCCAAGTTGCCACTGAGCACTCCTGCCTTTTCTCTGTCATTTGTTAACTTTTTGCCACCCAACCCAACCCATTTCTTTCCTCTCTCTCTTAATTTTGGACATCCTGAAGAAGGCCTTCTTTGTTGCTTTTTGCATCGCTAGCGTCAGTTCATCCCTGCAATTCCATACCACCATCCCTGCCTATATTCTTCCTTTGCAGCCTGCCTCCCTTCCACTTCCCAGGCATGTCCTTGTTTGTTTTCAGATCATCTCTAAGCTTTTTGTGAAGCCACATGGGCTTCATCTGTTGTTTTCTACCTCTTTTCCTTCTTGGAATGGTTTTTAATTGTGCTTTTAGAATTTCCGTTTTTTAAAAAATCCCCACCCATCTTGGACTCTTTTTCTCATTTGAGTCACTTGCCACTGGACTTATCATTGTTCTGAGTTTATTAAAAACAGCTTTCCTAAAGCCCCAGGGTACATGTTTGGCTACATTTGCCTTTGCTTTCTTTAAGATCAATAATTCAAGTATGGCACAGTCACTTCCCCCAGAGTTCCCATAACTGCCACTTGTCCATTAGGTCTTCCCTGTTGACTTAAGAGGGAGGGCACAATTATTTGTATGTGAACGAGCTGAGAGTTTGACTTTGAGGGACTGGAGTGGCAACAGCAAAACACAGAAGCACAGAAACAGAGCGAGTCAGAAGGGGTCTCCCGGACCACCTAGTCTGACCCCGACTCCAGCCGGCTCCACTCACAACATGCCCACCATGTGCACGTCCAGCCTGTCCTTGAACACCCTCACCAATGGGGCCTCGACAAAATCCAACAAAAGCCAGCTGGTATGTTGGATTTCAGTGGATTAATTGTTACTGGAGGCAGAAGGAGCCCTCGTGATCATCTTGGCGTGACTGTATAAAAGGGCTGGGTTGGGGATGCTCTTGGAATCTGCTGCCCATCCTTACTCCTGAGTAACCCAGTCCTCCTTACTTCTGAGTAGGGTGGAAAAGCAGTCCAACTTGTTGGCCATATTTCCTGCAGTCCTTCCGAGTTCTGGGTATTAAGCCACACGTGGGGGGAGTGGATAGAAGTGAGTGGGAGTCGGCACAGCATGTCATGCTACAACCACGGTTTGGAGAGGAGGTTGTGGATCTCTCCCTGCTTTGCAGGGCTGCTCTTACATTTAACACAAGGTATATTTCAGCTTCCCATATTTGCTTGCTTTGGTTTCCCTTCTGCGTGCAATCTGTTGCTGCCATCTCAAACAAATGTGAGTGTAAAGGAAGACTTGGTGTAGTGCTAAAATCATCTGTCATCATCATATTATATTCCTGTCCCTCCTTTGCTGTTCTGGACAGGAACCCAGGGCCTCCTCCACTCTATTTTATCCTCAGAACAACAACCCTGTGAGGTAGGTTGGACTGAGAGTCTGTGACTGGCCCAGAGT